CCCAAGACCAATCAGACTCGCGCCAGACGCTTAACTAATTGGAAACCGAGCCGGCATTCTGCGGTTGTATCTTGTCATAATTACGTCAATGAAAGTGGATTATATTTACATAAAAACTGAATTTATTTTTGAAAAAATTTCAAAAAATCACCATTCATATGGATGGTTGAGAATTATCCATTTCACTATGTTTACAGATAATTTAGAACCGAGAAAATCTAAGGTAGAAATGGCAATAACAAATTGTAAACGTACGTTGAATATATCATGTTTATCTATCCTATCCTATTTTATACTATCCTATTCACTACATTTTATGAGGCGTATTAATTTCGTATATTTAAAATGAAATTGTAATATTTGATCTAGGTCCAACAGATATTCAGTTAGTCAGTCAGTCAGTCAGTCAGTCAGTCAGTAACAACGTAGAACTTCGTACGCACGTACGTACGTACATCAGTTCGAGTTACCATAACCCCATTAGCACAAAGATACAATTGTCGATCCAAATCTCATAGTGGTATAGGTAGTAAGAGCATAAACAGTAATGGAAATGATTAGGGTTTGAAGATGTTATTCAATGGGTATAATCCAGTGAAGTAAATTTTGAAAGAGAAAAACAAGAAAGGGATATGAAGAATTGAGAAGATTAGAATTTGGCAGAACACGAAGAGTAGATTCACCTGCACTATTTCAAACGACCATTATTACTATTATTGGCTTCATTCAGTATTATATTTCGGATCCAACATAGAATTCTCAACAAGTTTCCTTCACAAAACACGGAAAACCGGAAACAAGAGAAGAAAGAAAAAAACGTGAAAACCTGATCTACATCTGTACAACCTTCCAAATTAGAGATATATCTTAACTATTGAATAGGTTCACTCTAACAACCTATTCGACACAGAATACATTTGCTAGGTAGGGTATCATAGAACTTCCATATCTTTGCTTGAGTCAGTCAGTCAGTCAGTCAGTCAACTACAATGTTGGACCAGGCACATATATGCATCAGTCCAAGTTGTCATACCACATTAGCACAACAAGATGAACATTGTATTCATAGAAGTAGTCGATTCAATGGTGGTAATATATAACAGAGAGATTGCGTATAAGACTATAGTACAGGATGAAACAACTAGAAAGAAAGGTATGAAGCAACTTCAATCTCACGTTTTAAGGGAAGACCTTGAGTATGGGGTTAGCGTTCCCATCCCGTAGAAAACTAACTAGCTAAAAAAACGCTAACCAGAGAAAATAATTCAAACCTTTTAAACTCTGCCCCGGGAGTCAGGAGGTCTTCATTTAGAAGAACTATGACGCCTCATGATGAAAGCCGAGTTCCTTCGGAAGTCGTGAGGCCGATGGCCCTTCTCACAACCAGAGCAACCATTTATTTAGGTACATGGAATGCTCGTAAAATGTGGGAGACCGGGAGAATTTACAAAGTGAGGAGATACAACCTGGAGGTGCTTGAGATCAGTGAAACACATTGGACGCAAGTTGGACAACAACGAATAACTTCAGAGGAGCTTTTGTTATACTCCGGCCATGAAGAAGAAAATGCCCCACATACACAAGGAGTTGCATTGATGCTGTCCAAACAAGCACAAAAGGCACTTATAGGATGGGAATCTCATGGACCACGGTTCATCAAAGTCTGCTTCAAAACAAAGAAAGAGGGCATTTCAATGAACATCATCCAATGCTATACGCCTACCAACGACTACAATGAAGACGCTAAAGATCAATTCTACAATAGGCTGCAGTCAATCGTCGAGAAGTGCCCAACAAAGGACCTGACCATTCTGATGGGAGATTTCAATGCCAAGGTTGGAACGGACAACACTGAATATGATGAAATCATGGGACGACATGGATTGGGAGAAAGAAACGAAAATGGTGAGAGATTTGCAAACCTATGTGCCTTCAATAAACTGGTCATAGGTGGCACCATATTCCCACATTACCGCTTTCACAAAACCACATGGACTTCACCGGATCACACCAAGCAAAACCAAATCGACCATATTTGCATCAACAAAACGTTCTGGAGGACTATAGAAGATGTGAGAACCAAGAGAGGAGCTGATATAGCATCAGATCATCACTTGGTGGTCACCAAGATGAAATTGAAACTCAAGAAACACTGGACAATGAGGCGCATAATATCACAAAAGTTCAATTCGACCTTTCTTCAGGATACTAACAAACTCAACTAATTCAAGATAGTCCTCAGCAACAAGTTCCAGGCCTTTCATGATCTACTCAATGGAGAAGGAACTACTGTGGAGAGCAACTGGAAGGGGATCAAAGAGGCAATCACTTCAACATGTCATGAGGTCCTTGGTCACAAGAAGCACCATCACAAGGAATGGATCACTGTTGATACACTGGATAAGATTCAAGAAAGGAGGAACAAGAAGGCAACAATCAATACCAGCCGAACAAGAGCAGAAAAAGCCAAGGCACAAGCTGAATACACAGAAGTAAACAAACAGGTGAAGAGGAGCGTCAGAACCGACAAACGTAAATATGTGGAAGATTTAGCAACGACGGCGGAAAAGGCTGCAAGAAAAGGGAACATGAGAGAACTGTATGACATAGCAAAGAAACTCTCTGGAAATCGCCGCAAACCAGAATGACCAGTGAAAAGCAACGAAGGCGAGGTAATCACCAACATTGAAGAACGGCGAAACAGGTGGGTAGAACACTTCAAAGAACTCTTGAATCGACCAGCTCCACTGAACCCACCCAACATCGAAGCAGCACCCACGGACCTCCCAATCAATGTTGGCCCACCAACAATTGAAGAAATCAACATGGCCATCAGACAAATCAAGAGTGGCAAAGCAGCAGGACCGGACAACATCCCAGCAGAGGCACTAAAAGCAGACGTAGCGGCAACTGCAAGGATACTCCACATTCTCTTCAATAAGATTTGGGATGAGGAACAAGTACCAAAAGACTGGACAGAAGGACTCCTGATCAAAATACCGAAGAAAGGCGATCTCAGCAAGTGTGATAACTACAGGGGCATCACTCTTGTCTGAATATCAGGAAAAGTCTTCAACAGGGTATTGTTAGACAGGATGAAGGACTGCATAGACGCCCAACTTCGAGACCAACAGGCAGGATTCCGTAAGGATAGATCGTGTACAGACCAAATCGCAACTCTACGGATCATTGTGGAACAATCAATTGAATGGAATTCATCACCCTACATCAACTTCATTGACTACGAAAAGGCATCTGATAGCGTGGACAGAACAACACTATGGAAGCTTCTTCAACACTACAGCGTGCCTCAGAAGATAGTCAATGTCATACGGAATTCCTATGATGGATTAAACTGCAAAATCGTGCATGAAGGATAGTTGACTAAGTCGTTCGAAGTGAAGACCGGTGTCAGGCAAGGTTTCTTACTCTCACCCTTCCTCTTTCTCCCGGTGATCGACTGGATCATGAAGACATCAACATTTGAAGGGAAACACGGGATTCAACGGACGTCTAGGTTGCAGTTGGATGATCTAGACTTCGCAGATGATCTGGCCCTTCTATCCCAAACGCAACAACAGATGCAGGAGAAGACAAACAGTGTGGCATCAGCCTCAGCAGCAGTAGGTCTCAATATACACAAAGGGAAAAGCAAAATTCTCCGATACAACACAGCATGCACCAATCCAATCACAATTGACGGAGAAGATTTGGAAGATGTAAAAAGCTTTACGTATTTGAGCAGCATCATTGATGAACAGGGTGGATCCAATGCAGATGTGAAGGCGCGGATCGGCAAAGCAAAAGCAGCATATTTACAGCTGAGGAACATCTAGAACTCAAAGTAACTCTCTGTCAACCAACACAAGGTCAGGATTTTCAATACAAATGTCAAGACAGTTCTACTGTATGGGGCAGAAACCTGGAAAACTACGAAAGCCATCATCCAGAAGATACAGGTGTTTATTAACAGATATCTACACAAAATACTTTGGATCCATTGGCCGGACACTATTAGCAACAACGTACTGTGGGAGAGAACAAACCAGATCCCAGCGGAGGGAGAAATCAGGAAGAAGCGCTGGAAGTGGATAGGACACACATTGAGGAAAGCACCTAACTGCGTCGCAAGACAAGCCCTCACATGGAATCCTGAAGGACAAAGAAGAAGAGGAAGACCAAAGAACACATTACGCCGGGAAATGGAAATAAACATGAGGAAAATGAACAAGAATTGGATGGAACTAGAAAAGAAGATCCGGGATAGAGTGGGTTGGAGAATGCTGATCGGCGGTCTGTGTTCCATTGGGAGTAACAGGCGTAAGTAAGTAGAGTATATACACCTATGCCATTGTAATCGATTTTGAGCCATGTCACACACAGTCTTCAACGATTGGTTACGATAGTAAGTGGACCCTAACCAAGTTGTCAGCTTGAGTGCATAGATTTCAATGTAGTTACGTCATGTTCTACCAGAACATATACAAAGATAAAGGTATGAATGGAAGGGATGTTTAGTATCTGATAAGATTACACCTGCCAGCAGTTTGCAACAGTTTAAATGTCTATCTATAACTACTGAACTTGATTAGAATAACTTAAGTACGATGAGTGTAAAGGATACTTTCGGACAATTATTATTTTACTAGAAAGATTCGAATTCACAAGTATAGTTAGCTATACGTTATGATGAATGCTACTTCAATCTGTATTCTTAAAATAGAATGCAATGCATCATATCCAGATAATCATCATTTAGTACTAATAATTATTGTTGTTCTCATTCCATCGATTTCTAAATTGTAGAACGTTTACATGTACTAATCGAACAATTCAGAACAAACGAGAAACAATTACAAGATCTGAAAAGTAAGTTCATTTAAGCAAGTAGAAATGTAAACAGCATAGACGGGTAAGCAATTAACAGATAAATGATCATATTGTCGGTTAAATGGAGATACAACTTATCACTTATCGTTCATCTTTCAGATGAAATCAATATGGAATTGTCAACTGAAAGTCAAACAATTGATCAATGTATGTTGAAACATGAACTAATCAAACAAATTTATCTGATGATTGTAGATATGAAGTGCAGAAGTAAAATTTATCAATCTATTGAACAAAAGATAGTTATGGGAGGTCAGTGTGTACCGAATGTATTTCACTTCGGAATTGATGAATTTGATCGTCTGGAAACTGTTGTTGTTGTTGTTGATGTGTGTGTGTGTGAAGTATTTATGCATCTGATGATTTGATTATTAATATGAAAATTTGATGTGTATATAGGGTACAGACATGGGATTTCTAGCGAGATTCAATTGTGGAGCATGTAAAATGATACATGGCAACAGTGTGCATGGAGTTCGACAGTATTTGACTAGTTCACAACGAACACACTCAACATCCGACCGACTCACACCAATTATGCATACAGATGAGGTGATCGCACACACACACAAACACACACACAGAGAGTTTGTTGAATGGGCACATGTCAAACTGTTGGTTTCACACCAATACAAATACCGATATTGCCTCGTATCAAGTCTCGTGATAAGCATCTCAACATTATTTTATTTCGATCATTGTCGCCAAATTCTCACATCAATCGTCGGAATGATGTGGTGACATTACGAATAAAATATTTCGGAACAAATAAGCAAATAAATAAATGATAGAATAGTGAAACATGATTTATCACTCGAGTTTATCTCTCATTCAATGTGTTTCATTGCTACTTTACATTCTCTTCTCCTTCAATGTTTAGAGTTAATCAAAGAAATGACAATACAAGAAAACATACATGGTATGTGTAATTTCCTACAGTGTACTGATCGTGTTTGACAACTGAAACTGTATTCATGCCACTTCATCAACATTTTCACAATATTTGAAATGTGTTGATGATAAGTGGAGTTTGTATGGGAACACAATCATCATTTAATATACTGGACATCAACACTCCATTTACTTGTGAATGTTTCTGTAATGTGGTTCAATGTCTGTGATGACGAACTCCCTGTGCTACATAGTTGTGGTTCTGTAATCTTATCGAATGTAAACCTTCTTATTTGACTATTGAATTGTAGGAACAACTGTTCGAAATTCTGATACAATGAAGAAGTGTTTGACTGAAGAACAGTCGGTTTATACAAGTAAGTGTGAATACTTACTAATGAGTGTTTGGCACATATGTTTCCTTTGAATTATTCAACGATGATGTATTGTATATATTGCGGGAATTGCTCATTAATTTTCATATGAAAAGTCTTGTCAATTGTGACTTTGATCAGAATGTTCGAAGTGTACAAAGTAAATATATCACTGAAATGTTTGAAATTGATGATACTTTGTGTGATGAATCACTCAATGATCCGATATTCATCGATGTTGTGCGAATCACAGATACGTGAAATTCCATGTATTGTTGATAACAGGTGGCTTATTTGAGTTGTATGCAACGTGATTGATTCTATATGAGAAGCGTCCATCTAGACTGTTCATCTAGTAGCTTCTATGTCATTTCTATTCGTTAAAATAGTGATAATGAATGATAGTTGACTTGTTGTTTATAGATTGAGCAATTCTGTAACATTTGTACTTTCATTCTCACACCGATCCAGAATTGGTGGATGAATACAGAAATGAAAATTGTCAGTTACCCACTACTAACAATATTCCAGGTAAATTTTCTTAATGAATATACCTGTCTTTGTCATCCATACACATTCTAATACATGAGTCACATTTGTATATTTCATTGTTCATAGATAATCAACAACTACAGCACAAATTCCGTAGACTTGATCTTCTACTACGAGATCGATATGGGAAAATACGTGTATGCAACATTTATTTATGTGAGTATAGTAATTCTTCTCTGGATGTACATTGATTATGACAGATAAGAAATTATTCAGGTAGATTTTTAAAATAATGGACAAATACTTCTCATTCAGTTCACCAAGTCATATGAATCCATACTATCACTACATTGAGAAATGTTCAGTCAGTTAGTCAATTAGAACATGAACATAAATGAAGATATGGAAACATGAGAATACAATTCATGTTAGACTAGAGCATTAGAACTGAACTTTTTGTTACTTGTATGATAGTTGAAAAGTTCAATTCAAACGGAAACAGACACTGACATAGTTGTTGATTGCAACAATAAACACTGTGAATGTGAATTATTTCTCTCAAACATTACATTATCACTTACATTATAGATCTACTCACTATTCGATTTTCATTAATCTACCATGTGCTCACTAATGACTAGCTTCGTGAGAAAATTCTCGGAGTTCTGGTGAGAATTCGTGACCAGTGGTGTTAATCTTCGTCCTGTAGAAACAGGTGTCTACATCAGTACAATGGAAGATGGTCGCACAATTTTGTGGATTGGTTGCGGTTATACATTAACACCATTAGACGCCGGCTCATTAGTTCAATAGGTTGAGTGTTCGCGCGCGAGCGGGATCGTGGATGCGCACTTCTGGGGAGTCCCACAGTAGGACGAGACAGCTGTCCAGTGCTTCCAGGTTTTCAATAGTGGTCTGACATCAATCGGTTGATGATCTCAATCAAAAACTTATCAAGTATTTCACTATTCATACCTGTGAATTCAGATGTCAGTTAGATTTTATTTGTTTTCTTACATTTCAGTTTCACATGACATATTGCAAACTATTCATGAACAAATTGATAATCAGTTAAAGAAACGTTAGTTAGTTGTCTTGTTTTATTTATCTTGAGTTTTATTTGTTATTTATTGTTAGTTCTTTCAATTGATTCATTGAAAGACAGTAACTGAAATTTAGTTCTGAATGTCGATCTTTTTTTACGCTTTATTCTTTATTGAAATCTCTAATGATATACTTGTATTGGCAGTTAGGATAGTATGATGCACTTGATTTATTGATGTATAGGTGAGAATTTCGATCGTATGACTTCACTTTGGGATCTATTTGAAAAGAAAACTCGTTTGGTTCCGTTCCCTTGATCACCTTCGCCTTACTTTCTGATTTCAGTTTCTTTTTTCTCATTTGAACTTGTAGTGGTGGAATATTAAATGTTATCACATTATATTTCCATTGGTAAAAGTTTAGGTTTAGATGACTGAAAAACTTTTTTTTTTCTATCTCTCAGTTGATTTTTGTGTCCAATAGTTAGTGTGCTTTCGACAATCACTTCATCAAATACTGTCCCACGTCTTTTTTTATACACCTAAATATCCATTTTGGCTTGCCAGGCCGAAATTTACGTGCATAGACTAAGTCATCTGCTTCAAATTCTCGATTCTCCGGACAATTCCTTTTCTTATTATTTTGTAGTCCACTTATTCTGTCTTACGGGTTCAAAACATCAAAAATGTCGTAATTGGTCGGCCAAATATTACTTCGGTTGGTGATTCCCCGTCTTGACACTCTGGACTAGGTGTAATTCTGTAAGAAATTAGAAACTGTTGCAGAGTTTCTTCTACGTTATCTTCTCATTCAATCTTTAAAAGAGCTCGATTACGAGTATCAACAAATTTTTCTGCTTGCTCTTTTGACTGAGGGTGATACGGTGGGATTCTAATATGTTCAATTCTATTTTGTTTACAGAACTTCGCAAACTCTGACAACGTAAATTGTGTCCTGTTAACTGAAACCAAAATATTAGGTGTCCCAAACCTACCAAATAGTTGTCTGAGATGTAACAGTGTTTGAGAAGTAGACGGTCTTCGCACAACATAAATTTCAGGCCATTATGAGTATGAATCTAACACCACCGAAAATATGGTCCATTAATTGATTCGGCATAGCCGATGTGTACTCGGACACAAGGCTTGTTTATCTCTGGCCATGGCTGGGATTTTAATTTCAGTGTATTCAACAGTAGATCCCACAAAACAAATTTATCCATCCAATCAATACCTAATAGGTTGGTATGACAGTTCCCAGAAATACAACATTTTCCGATCAGTCTTGTCACCCAATGTGAGAGGCAGCTGCATCTCCTCAAGAAGAGTAATGTTAGTTTCTGTCGCACTCTTAGCGTTATATTATGTAGATTGAAATCGAGGTCGACCAAGTTTTATCTAAGTCTCTCTAGAAATTAATGTTATGTCAGACCCCGTATCAACTTGCAGCTTAACCGGATTGGCTGGGAGTACGGATCCTTATTTTCGTTAAAAGACATACGCAAGACACTAACTTCCCCAATCCACTGTTCCTTACTACTAGATTTGTGTCTTGCTTCAAATTCACCATTCTTTGACGATCTTCAGAAACTGATTTCAGACTGACATTGGGATCTTGTTTTGATCCTCGCTAAAATCCGTGTTCTGATGTTTGCATCTACTGCAGATTGTAACCGTTAGACAAAAATAAGGCATTGGAACTGATCTAAGGATATTTCTTGAGACAGCAACCGCTCATATTCCCGGTTCACGATGCTCGTATACGTCACATAATCGTCCTGTGTTTCTTTTACAAGCTGGAGACACCGGTGTCTAGTGTGAAGAATTGATGATCGTCCACCAAATATACGTGTAAGGCATTCTACTATTTCTCTGAAAGTAATTTTGGTTGGCTTCTTTGAGCACAAAATTGAAGACCTTTTCATGTTCAGAAACTCCGAATTTCGAATCTTTGTCCCACTCTTTAAAATTATTGATAAACAAATCCTCATGGCGTATAAATCATGTCTAAAAATTAATCCCACTTTCTGGATCAAATCTAAATCCATTGATTGAATTGACAATAGAATCCGGAGTCAAAGTGGAATCAGATACCCGAGTTCTTCAGGATACTGACATTTTCTTGACCAATAACTGGATAAGAGAATTTCGCTGTTGCAATGAAGATTCCAGATCATCCATTGTATTGTTTCGAAATCCACTTTAACTAAATATATAGGCGCAGATCAGTTTCAACCGTCGTTGCCAACGTTATAACGCTCGGTTTTACTTCGTCTACACGTATGAGATGTTAATTTACCTTAAGTGAATATGTGCACTCAATTCTCTCACAGTGTCTATTCTATAGGACTTCAACACAACTCAGATCAAGAACTCGTGATTAGCCTGACTAGAGTATAAATATATTTCCACGCCAAAAACCCGACACAATCCAACAACAATGAACAATCAATAACAATTAATAATAATTATTGGGGTATATTTAATTCATATAACACTTGTCAGACTATCTACATGTCTGACTAAGCAAACAAATAATCATTATCATTCTCTTCTAAACATCAAATTTATTCTTGCGAAACTGTCATTCAGATTTGAATTCGTCATACAGACCACACAAATAGATAAAAACTATTGAGGAAGTGAACATATGATTGACATGTTTATTCTTACAAGTTGAATGTAATCGATTGTAATGTGTATAGAATATGTCACTCATAGTGGATCACATTTACATGGAAACTGAATTTATTTTTGAAAAAATTTCAAACAATCACCATTCATATGGATGGTTGAGAATTATCCATTTCACTATGTTTACAGATAATTTAGAACCGAGAAAATCTAAGGTAGAAACGGCGATAACAATTTGTAAACGTACGTTGAATATATCATGTTTATCTATCCTATCCTATCTTATACTATCCTATTCACTACATTTTATGAGGCGTATTAATTTCGTATATTTAAAATGAAATTGTAATATTTGATCTAGGTCCAACAGATATTCAGTTAGTCAGTCAGTCAGTCAGTCAGTCAGTAACAACGTAGAACTTCGTACGCACGTACGTACGTACATCAGTTCGAGTTACCATACCCCCATTAGCATAAAGATACAATTGTCGATCCAAATCTCATAGTGGTATAGGTAGTAAGAGCATAAACAGTAATGGAAATGATTAGGGTTTGAAGATGTTATTCAATGGGTATAATCCAGTGAAGTAAATTTTGAAAGAGAAAAACAAGAAAGGGATATGAAGAATTGAGAAGATTAGAATTTGGCAGAACACGAAGAGTAGATTCACCTGCACTATTTCAAACGACCATTATTACTATTATTGGCTTCATTCAGTATTATATTTCGGATCCAACATAGAATTCTCAACAAGTTTCCTTCACAAAACACGGAAAACCGGAAACAAGAGAAGAAAGAAAAAAACGTGAAAACCTGATCTACATCTGTACAACCTTCCAAATTAGAGATATATCTTAACTATTGAATAGGTTCACTCTAACAACCTATTCGACACAGAATACATTTGCTAGGTAGGGTATTATAGAACTTCCATATCTTTGCTTGAGTCAGTCAGTCAGTCAGTCAGTCAACTACAATGTTGGACCAGGCACATATATGCATCAGTCCAAGTTGTCATACCACATTAGCACAACAAGATGAACATTGTATTCATAGAAGTAGTCGATTCAATGGTGGTAATATATAACAGAGAGATTGCGTATAAGACTATGGTACAGGGTGAAACAACTAGAAAGAAAGGTATGAAGCAACTTCAATCTCACGTTTAAAGGGAAGACATAGAGAATATACACCTATGCCATTGTAATCGATTCCGAGTCATGTCACACACAGTCTCCAACGATTGGTTACGATAGTAAGTGGACCCTAACCAAGTTGTCAGCTTGAGTGCATAGATTTCAATGTAGTTACGTCATGTTCTACCAGAACATATACAAAGATAAAGGTATGAATGGAAGGGATGTTTAGTATCTGATAAGATTACACCTGCCAGCAGTTTGCAACAGTTTAAATGTCTATCTATAACTACTGAACTTGATTAGAATAACTTAAGTACGATGAGTGTAAAGGATACTTTCGGACAATTATTATTTTACTAGAAAGATTCGAATTCACAAGTATAGTTAGCTATACGTTATGATGAATGCTACTTCAATCTGTATTCTTAAAATAGAATGCAATGCATCATATCCAGATAATCATCATTTAGTACTAATAATTATTGTTGTTCTCATTCCATCGATTTCTAAATTGTAGAACGTTTACATGTACTAATCGAACAATTCAGAACAAACGAGAAACAATTACAAGATCTGAAAAGTAAGTTCATTTAAGCAAGTAGAAATGTAAACAGCATAGACGGGTAAGCAATTAACAGATAAATGATCATATTGTCGGTTAAATGGAGATACAACTTATCACTTATCGTTCATCTTTCAGATGAAATCAATATGGAATTGTCAACTGAACATCAATCAATTAATCAATGTATGTTGAAACATGAACTAATCAAACAAATTTATCTGATGATTGTAGATATGAAGTGCAGAAGTAAAATTTATCAATCTATTGAACGAAAGATACTTATGGGAGGTGAGTGTGTACCGAATGTATTTCACTTCGGAATTGATGAATTTGATCGTCTGGAAGCTGTTGTTGTTGTTGTTGTTGATGTGTGTGTGTGTGAAGTATTTATGCATCTGATGATTTGATTATTAATATGAAAATTTGAGGTGTTTATCATACAGACATGGGATGTGTAGCTAGACTCAACTGTAGAACATGTAACATGAAACATGCCATCAGTGTGCATGGAGTTCGACAGTATTTGAGTGTTTCACAACGAACACATTCAACATCTGACCGACTCACATCAATTATGCATACAGATGAGATGATCGCACACACACACACACAAACACAGAGAGTTTGTTGAATGGGCACATGTCAAACTGTTGGTTTCACACCAATACAAATACCGATATTGCCTCGTATCAAGTCTCGTGATAAGCATCTCAACATTATTTTATTTCGATCATTGTCGCCAAATTCTCACATCAATCGTCGGAATGATGTGGTGACATCACGAATAAAATATTTCGGAACAAATAAGCAAATAAATAAATGATAGAATAGTGAAACATGATTTATCACTCGAGTTTATCTCTCATTCAATGTGTTTCATTGCTACTTTACATTCTCTTCTCCTTCAATGTTTAGAGTTAATCAAAGAAATGACAATACAAGAAAACATACATGGTATGTGTAATTTCCTCCAGTGTACTGATCGTGTTTGACAGCTGAAACTGTATTCATGCCACTTCATCAACATTTTCACAATATTTGAAATGTGTTGATGATAAGTGGAGTTTGTATGGGAACACAATCATCATTTAATATACTTGACATCAACACTCCATTTACTTGTGAATGTTTCTATAATGTGGTTCAATGTCTGTGATGAAGAACTCTCTGTGCTACATAGTTGTGGTTCTGTAATCTTATCGAATGTAAACCTTCTTATTTGACTATTGAATTGTAGGAACAACTGTTCGAAATTCTGATACAATGAAGAAGTGTTTGACTGAAGAACAGTCGGTTTATACAAGTAAGTGTGAATACTTACTAATGAGTGTTTGACACTTATGTTTCCTTTGAATTATTTAACGATGTTTGTTGGGATGGCTTCTGGGAACTATGACGTTGCCTTCATAGTCCCTAAAGGAGCCGAATGTGTTCCATTCGCTCAGAACTTTATTGAGCTTTCCAGGTTATCAACGTGACATGATACTATTTTACAGTAGTATAATATACGTCTTTGTGGATTGGATGAGCCATAATTTTGGTATAACAGACGCTGATATCTATAAATACTCACGATTTCCTATTCATTTTGATTATTACCCAACAAGCACTGCAGTAGTCTTCTTCCGTTTTGTGGTTTGCAACTGTTGGTTCTGTACGCTCGAGTGCCGTTGTTGTATTTTGTGTTCTGTGTTAAACAAGTAACTAACCTGACACTGGCGATGGGATGTACCAATAGTAGCGTCAATTACTCTTAAACATTCAGAATCTATGCTTGAACTCCAGGAAAAACGGTACGAACAGTTCGAAGTGAGTGTCCGGGAGATGCTAACGCAACACATGAATCTTAGTCATAAACGACTTGCTGATAATTCATGAAATTCACCGATTCCATCATTCATTCTATCCATGAATTTAATTTTGATGGTTTGGCTAGTATTACTTTTGAATTCTGGTTCAAGAAGCACGAATATTTGTTCAAGGTCAACCTCCAAAAACTTGGTGACGCAGCCAAGATCAGGACTGTGCTACGAATACTTGGCATGGTTGAAAACGAATGTTAGAGTAATCGCATCGTTCCAAATAACCCATGAGATTTTTCAACGAGACTATAATTTATGGGTGAACCAATCACATATGAGATAAGAAGTTTTGGATTTTGGCGCGAAATTAACCCATCCATTTGGCTATATAGAGTCTCGGCATCATAGCCGATGCCAGTTCGTGATGAAAACCCTATATCTGATTCCTAATACTAACCATAAACTGTAAATATTATTTCTAACTCTTCACGCTGGTTTATAACCCTCATTTAGCCGTAGTATGTAGGTTAACATTCTCAAGGTCTCTTTAGCGTCGCTCAAAGGCCATCCATAAATTATAGTCTCACCGATTTTTCTTTTAATGCAACAATTGATATCTTGTCGGAAGTCTTTACTGAAACGTCATTTTAGTTTACTATCCGCTATCAGTGCCTCAAGATAATAAAAGCCGGTAATAATGACTGGGTAAAACATGCAGATTTACTAAAAAGTGAGTGTGAGCGGTTTAAACTATCAACAGTGACAGCAGATCAGTTTAAGTGTCTCGTGTTTGTATACGGTCTCCAATCTCCCGAAGATGCTGATAATAGAACCAGAATTTTGTGTAAAATGGAACAATCCCCGAACAAAACGCTACAGGAAGGAACCACCTTGAGCTCCCAACTTTGGCGAAATTTTGGGGTTTTGATGCCATTTCCTCAAATTTTCCCCAGACCTGTGGAAATTCCCCAATACTTCCCCAAAGTTTGGAGATTGGGAAGGAGTGTCAGAGATTGACTAACTTGTAATACGACATCATGATTAAAAATAATACCCGGCCGCCATACGTCCATGTTGTAAGCAAAAAGGAAGATTCCGGCTCAAGAAAATTATCGCACACAGACAATCAACCCTCACCTTCATGCTGGCAATATGGAGATTGACATTGTAAGAGGTTCTGCCCATACAGAGAACATTGTCGCACTAAATGTCATCGCAAGGGTCATAAAGAAATAAGTGGGGTAGGACTACAATTTATGGACGACATTTGAGCGACGCTGAAGTGACCTTGAGAGTGAGCATCTACTAATTAGGACTAACTGAGGGTTGTAAAGCAGTTAGAATTCTCTTTTACTGTTAACGATTATGGTGAAAAGTTAGATTTAGGGTTTTCATCACAAACTGACATCAGCTATAATGCCAAAACTCTATTTAGCCGAATGTATGAATGAATTCGTGATTCCTTATCTCATATCCGATTGGTTCGTCCATAAATTATATTCTCGTCACAAGCTGCAGAAATAAACCCATAAGAGACATTCTTCGAAACCTTGCTTCGAGAAGTACAGATCCGGAACAAAAACTAACAAAATCTTGGCATCACATAACCGATTACGAATTTACCTCCAAAGAAAGTATCTAACTTCGGATATTAATAAACAACGTACTCGTCTTGAACTCGATACAGTATCTGATATTACTCTGGTCAACCCAGAAACTTGGAGGAATATTGAGAGACCCACAGTTTATCTAACAACACAACTAGAACACAATGCATCTGGTGGGAAGTTAAATACTGTTGGAGGGGTATCTTGTACTGTTTCTAAAGATGATGTGAGATTGAATGCAACAGTACACCTTACAAAGAATCCAGCATTCGACCTTTAGGGGTTAGATCTTATAGTGACACCAAAACTAGCAGAGCATTCGATTAATAACAGCTGCAGCCGAATAAGAACTCATAGCTCCTTAGAGCACGATCAGAAAAATGCCAAGCTACAAAGACAATACCACGTGTTTACAGAAGGATTGGGAGAATGTACAAAAGCCAAGGCATTACTAAAACACAAACCTGGAGCTACTCTCGTTTTACGAGCTAAAAGACCTGTGTTATATGCTGCCCTTACAGTAGATAGATGGAAATGACTAATGGGGCTCATTCGAAGTGTATAAAACTTGACTGATGTATTTGCGAAGGATCTATTCAGACTGTTCACCTAGTGGCTACTAAGTCATTTCTATTCGTTCAAAATCATTTTTCAAGTAATGATGGTGATGATGCTGGTTAACTTGTCGTTTATAGATTGAGCAATTCTACAATCGAATATTATAAATCCATATAATTCTAATATTTTCTGCAACATTTGTCTTTTCGTTCTCACACCGATCTAGAATTGGTGGATGAATACAGAAATGAAAATTGTCAGTTACCCACTACTAACAATATTCCAGGTAAATTTTCTTAATGAATATACCTGTCTTTGTCATCCATACACATTCTAATACATGAGTCACATTTGTATATTTCATTGTTCATAGATAATCAACAACTACAGCACAAATTCCGTAGACTTGATCTTCTACTACGAGATCGATATGGGAAAATACGTGTATGCAACATTTATTTATGTGAGTATAGTAATTCTTCTCTGGATGTACATTGATTATGACAGATAAGAAATTATTCAGGTAGATTTTTAAAATAATGGACAAATACTTCTCATTCAGTTCACCAAGTCATATGAATCCATACTATCACTACATTGAGAAATGTTCAGTCAGTTAGTCAATTAGAACATGAACATAAATGAAGATATGGAAACATGAGAATACAATTCATGTTAGACTAGAGCATTAGAACTGAACTTTTTGTTACTTGTATGATAGTTGAAAAGTTCAATTCAAACGGAAACAGACACTGACATAGTTGTTGATTGCAACAATAAACACTGTGAATGTGAATTATTTCTCTCAAACATTACATTATCACTTACATTATAGATCTACTCACTATTCGATTTTCATTAATCTACCATGTGCTCACTAATGACTAGCTTCGTGAGAAAATTCTCGGAGTTCTGGTGAGAATTCGTGACCAGTGGTGTTAATCTTCGTCCTGTAGAAACAGGTGTCTACATCAGTACAATGGAAGATGGTCGCACAATTTTGTGGATTGGTTGCGGTTATACATTAACACCATTAGACGCCGGCTCATTAGTTCAATAGGTTGAGTGTTCGCGCGCGAGCGGGATCGTGGATGCGCACTTCTGGGGAGTCCCACAGTAGGACGAAACAGCTGTCCAGTGCTTCCAGGTTTTCAATAGTGGTCTGACATCAATCGGTTGATGATCTCAATCAAAAACTTATCAAGTATTTCACTATTCATACCTGTGAATTTAGATTTCAGTTAAATTTTATTTGTTTTCTTACATTTCAGTTTCACATGACATATTGCAAACTATTCATGAACAAATTGATAATCAGTTAAAGAAACGTTAGTTAGTTGTCTTGTTTTATTTTTCTTGGATTTTCTTCTGCAGTGGCTGTCATTGAAAGGTGTACCTCAGAAGTACGCAAACCATGTGAAGTTTCTTTTTTAGAATGCTATCAGTCAAGTCAGACCTTATGTCAAACTGTCATCTGATTTTGCAACTTCATGCGGTTTCTTGCAAGTCTGTCCATCATCTCCATTTCTGTATAATTTCATCATAGACCTATCGATGGAAATAACGATCCCGTCGAATGAATTTTCAGGAATCAATCTCCCTCCAGGAGGTCCACTTAGAATGTGTGGATGACAGTTTTGTTTGATGAGGACGCTGATAAAATGCAGTTACTATTAGTAACACTGAGCAACGATGCCAGAATGTTTGGGATGCGTTTCTTCCCCTCTAAGTGCAAGCTGTTGACTGCCTCAACACCTGAACTAAGAAAAGGGAGTGAGGTAGTCGAACTCACTGACAACTTCACTTATCTCGGAAGTCTGGTCAGGCGTAATAGGTTGGTGTCTGATGGATTCAAAAACCTTGTTTGGCTTTCATTAGCTTACGTCACTTACTGAGAATGCGAGATATTTGTCTATCAATTACGGGACGATTATACTGCTCTGCTGTCCGTTATGTTCTACTGTACGGCTATGAAACGTGACCATTATGAGTCGAAGATACTAGTAAGCTACTAGTATTTGACCACAGATGTCCCAGAAATATTGCTCGCATCTTCCAGGATCACCGCGTTAGTTACAGTGAGGCTAGACGCAAAAGATTAGGGAATGATGGTAAATCATTTGATGAGGTTTTAAATTTTCATTTACTGAAATGGTTGGGACACGTGTTACGTATGCCTGAATACCGATTACAACGACGCGCAATGCTGACTAGTGTTGAAGATGGTTGGAAGAAAGTTATGGGTGGTCAAACCAAGACATGGTACCAGCCTGTAAAGTCACTAATTTATGGTCTGAGCCATGTTGGTAGATACAAACTACTTGGCCGGGGTCCGCGTGACATGGCTCAGAGCCGATCACAATGATATAGGTGTATATACTCTTTGTCTTCCCTTACACCGTGAGTTTTAAATTGCTTTATACTTTTATTTCTACGAACCACTTGTTTCTCCCTGAATCATATCCTTCTACACACATTTTTTATATATTACCATCGTTGACTTAACTAATTCTATGATTTCAGTGTTCATCTGAGTGTACTAATGAAGTGTGACAACTTGAACCGATGCATATATGTGCCTGGTCTTACGTTGTAGCTAACTTACTGACTGATTGAGATTATTTGTCGTAAATTGATACCGTTTAGAGATGAGAAGTGATTTATTGTTTACAGATCTAATATTTATTGAATGTAATTGATCAACTTTGTACCTAACTATACATCCCTTTTTTTTTAATTTTTAGTTATTACTTGATGGTGTAGTAGAAAACATTCACATATGTTTGTCAATTGGACATTGTTTTAATTAAAATTATGTTCAATGATTTTTTAATAGTTTTAATGAATCGCTTTGTGGATGACAAGTCTTCGAAATGAACGGTAGATACAATTTCCTAAGCTTTTCTAGTAACCCTCAGGATATATCTACACAACAATTTGAACACGAGAGAAAAAGTGGGAAAGATTCATTCATGTAGAGAAAATCTAGGGTTTTTACAGTGTTTTAAATGACCTCGAGTTTCCCGAAAATTCTGGAACGCTACTAAACATAGTAAGTAGGTAAATATCTCTTGATCCCCAACGTAGATTATCTATGTCGAGTGATTGGAAGCCTACTCGAGTTAGACGGGAATGGTGTGACAAACTAGCTAACTTTGAAGTCACACCTCGCGGTCAGCATCTATCATGGATTACCCCTTCGACGTATCAAAGTAATATGGCTCCTTTGAAGACCGTATAACACAAAGGACGTTATTATGGAAATATATTAGTAAGAACGAGTACAGAGAAGATAGTAGGACCACCACCGCATGAACCAGTCTATGGCATACGATTAACTGACGCGCGTTGGTTATCCTTGACTTTGACGGGGATCGATGATTCATTCGGCATTCAATGACCCAACTGACGAATGATTTGGCCAGGGTTCAGTGATATTTCACTGACATGTGACTTTTTACTTTGTAGATGTTTCTGGCAAAACGTCTAGTGAATGTTGACAAGATAAGATATTTCTCAGCGTTTTCAGACCCTTTTTTGGCTTTATTAGAGAAATTTTCTGGATCATCCCAACAAAGAATTTCTTTTTTTAGTTTTTGTTCAAGTATAAATTGAATGGTTGCCGATTGTGTTCCCCTACAAAGAATAGTAGAAGTTAAGTTTTCATTTGTAAGGTTTACTTGAAATAATATTTATAGGTTATTAGCTAAGAACTAATTTTTGAATCAAACAAATGACACATTTATATAGAGATATTATCTTAAATTGACTCAATAATTCAACCAGTAAATTACTACAATTTCACAAACCTTCATTATGGCATACACGTTTCTTCGAAAACAAGAACCACAGTATGTTTGATTCATAGTACAGACTACTGAAAATAATGATGAGTGACATAAATACTAAAATGTTAATCAATTAAAGAATGGATGGTGCTAAAGAGTTCCTCTTCGTTCACTTTGTACTCCTCCAAAATTAACTTTACGATGCTGTACAGTTGATTGTGCTTCGTGTACAATTACTTACTTACGCCTGTTACTCCTCGTGAAGGAGCATAGACAGCCCATCAGCATTCTTCATCCAACCCTGTCCTTGGCAATCATTTATAGTTATTATTCATCCTTTTCATATCTGCTTCTATTTCCCGATTTAGTGTCTTCTTTGGCCTTCCTCTTTTCCGTTTCCGTTCAGGATTCTTAGTTGGCACTTGTCTCCTGATTCAGTTTGTTGATTTCCGTAATGTTTGTCCTATCCATTACCAACGTCTTTTCCTGATTTCTTCTTTAGCTGGAATTTCGTTTGTTCTCTCCTACAGAAGTCTATTGCTGATGATATCCGGCCAATGGATGTTGGGTATCTTGCGTAGACAACAATTTATAAATACTTCAACCTTCTTGATGATGGTTGTAGTTTCGTGTAAAATCCTGAAACCAAAGTACAAGAAACTATAAGTGCTAAACGTCCAAATATTATTCGGTTGTTAAGTGCTAAATAGGTTATTTCACAGTTGAAACAGTCAGAAAATAATATAAACTGTTCATGCTTTTAAAAGAGTAATGTAGAAGGGGAGAACACAGTCAAGTTACTAGGAATTAAATGTAATTCACAAAAATAATTAACGTTCGATAAACAGGATATAGGAAGCCTATTCAAAATAAGAGAAACCCAAAGTAAATAAAGGTGAATAAACGTTTAAAAGATGAACAAATATTGTTTAATATGTGGGAACGAACTAATGTGCCAAAATAAAAGACAAATAGTGTGAACCAAATTATTTGTTAGAAAGACTGTAGTACAGTCAAAACATTAAATTTGTTGTATAAAACTCGAACTACTGATTAAGATTAAGTAATATAATTCTAAATACTACTTGATGTAGAAGTTTGTCATTGTAATTCAGACCGAACAACTGAATTACAATACACTTTTGTCATATTAAACTCAAATATTTAAAAAATAAACATAACACATGGTTAAGCTAATGCTTTTTGTATGATTTCAATCTCAAAATGGTTTATCTGATGTATATCAAATAATTTAGTGATCCGATAATGATGGAATGTTGACTAGATGTTCTTCAGAATATTTGTTGATAATATTTAGCTGAATATTTAAAGAGCAATGTTATAATGGTGTGGTGATGCGTCGAGTCGTGGTTGACTATGATTACCACTACAGGAAGACTACGTGTCAGTTAATCGATAAGATCCCCCGTAGGCCAAATATCAGAAAGCAGTCGATGGCTGTATTCGAGATGTATTTGTGGGCGATCACGTGGTATCGAAAGAATACCGAGACCGTGCCAGGTTATAAGTGTGGTTACTGAGCGTAACCAAATTCGTGCAAGGTCACAAGCAACGGAAGAATGTATGTATTTTGGTACGGTTAAACAAATAAGTGCGGTAAAACAATCCCTGGTACAATTGGTTATGATAATAATTGTTTCCATCACACCAATCGCATTCTCTTGATAAAAGTAGGTCACTACAATGGCGATCCTTAACCCTGAGTTATATATAAGAGAGTTCTATGAGTTTAATTTATATAACAAGTGAGCCAAATATATCTTCATAAGCACTAGGATTTGATAACACCTCTAGCTTGTCTACTGATTTTGGCGTTTTGTTTTCCCATCAGTATGGTCATGTCCTTTCCTGAGCATTTCACTACGATCGATTGCAGCCTCTCGTATAACTGATCCTTATCGTCATCATTGCTATCAATGGTGGATACATAACATTGGACAACATTCATTATGATTACCTCCTTCTTTGTTTTGAATGATGCTTTGTTGATCCTGGGTCCATGATATCCCCATCCTATAAGTGTTTTACGTGCATTTTTGGACAGCATCAGAGCAACTTCCAGAGCGTGTGGAACATTTTTCTCTTCATGATCGGAGTACATCAGCATCTCTCCTGAATCTATCCTTTTCTGTCCAGCTTGAGTCTACTGGCTTTCACTGATTTCCTCAATTTCGTACCTATTTGATTGGTCCTCGTGGTCTCTCACACTGTCCGGATGTTCCATGTACCAATAATTATTGTCACCCTTGTTGTTAGAAGAGGAACAGGCCTCGTGACCTCCAAAGAATCTCGGCTTTCACTATGAAGTGTCATAATTCTTCTGAATGAAGATCCTTCTCTCAGAACACTTCTGACGGATATCAGAATTTCAGCAAAAGAATCACATTTACCTTCATAGCAGTGATATCACCTTCATTCATCATATCAGTGGCAATTCTGTCTTGTTTTACTTCTATTAACAGATGCATAGGTGACGACATCTACGTACCTGTATTTTCTAAACATGGCTATTGAATGAAAACAC